AGACTCTTCTGGATGTGTCTATTTTCCCCCCCTCACTCACTGCAAGATTTCCACAGCCAGTTCTTGTTTCCATGAAAAGCAGAGAGAAGGCTCATTCACATCGTAGATCCAAGCTGGCCCCCCACAGAATGTTTCCGTCCTTAATCTCGCCATAACTTCTGCTTTCTTTCCTTAGAACCATCACTCAGGCCTCCCTATCTAATTTCCATTTCCATCCCAACACTAGCATTCAGTGTTATTTTCACAAAGGTGATGGGTCTGCATTCTCTTTTTCTCACCCTGTAAGAGTGATCAAACCCACAGGAATAAAGAGGGAACAACAGAGTCCCCACTGATAGAGGCTGGGCCCTCTTACAGTGTTTGCAGAAATGCTCAGTGGCTGCTCACCCCAGCACCCCCACCACGTGGCAGATGGGTGCAGTTTCCCTTTGTACCTGCACAGAATGACACGTCATGACACGTGAGCGCCTCGCCTGGTCGAAGCCACTGTTGTTCAGTCCACAGATGCAGGGTCTGCTCTATAGTCGGCTGCTCCCCCGCACAGGAACGACCTGCCCGGTTAGGTATAAAATGGTGCGCGAAGTCCCCGTAGCAGAAGAGTTAGAATGCAGTAAGATGCAGTCTGCCTTGGCACCAAGACTATGTGAGCAGTAGTGGGGGTGGTTTTGTAAGGTCCCAAAGGTGCTTCAGAATTGGGCAGGGTCTTGGTTGAGGCATACTCACCATAACTTCCGTGAGGAGAGGGTGTGGAGGGGACACAGAAGAGAGGCCTGGGGAACTCTGGCCACCCTCCTGTGCCCCAGAAGCTCTCTGTGGCCTAGGGCGGGGGGCGTGTATCTGTCTGCCTTCCTGATCTGGGAGCAGATGTGTGCCCCGCCACAGCGGGGAGTGCCAGGTGGCATAGGTGTACATTGGCAGAGGCAGGAAAGAGAACCTGCCGTTTTCTCCTAATTTCTAAGTTAATTGCTAAGGGCCTTTGCAACATTTTTAATGTGTGAAGAGCCTTTGAACAGATGGCAGGTACCAAATAAGATAATGGAAGTGGTGGGAAAGGGCATTCTTTTGATGAGCTTGTTGCTTCACATTGTGCCTGGCACCGCTAGGTGCTCAGTCTCAGTCCCCAGGAAGGCAGGGACATGATATTTTCATCAGAGGCAGTGTAACATGGAGATGAAGGGCATAGACTGCAGAGGTTCAATTCCCAGTTCTGCTCTCTTGCTGTGGAAGCTCAAGCAAGTTTAATGCCTCAGTGTCCTCATCTGTAAGAGAGAGTTCTACTAATATCAACCGAGGGTTGTCATTAAGAACTTCAAATGAGTTGGGGCGCCTGGGTGGCTCAGTGGGGTAAGCGCCTGGCTTCAACTCAGGTCATGATCCCAGGGTCCTGGGATCGAGCCCCACATCGGGCTCCCTGCTCCATGGGGAGGCTGCTTCTCCCTCTGCCCCTCACCCTGTTCTCATGCTCTCTCACACACACACTGTCTCTCCCTCAAATAAATAAATCTTTAAAAAAAAAAAAATTTAAATGAGTTTACTTAGAAGAGTGCCTAGCACCTGTTGTCGTTAATACCATCAGCAGGAGCATCAGCCACGTGCGGCTCTTCACGGGGCCGGCTACTCTCTCCGTGTCTAGCCCCTGTTCTGGATATACTCCTGCAAGCTTTTTAATTGGCCCCGGGTTGCCAGTCTGGGGTTTCTTTAGCTGCCAGGTCACTCCCTGCCACATAATCAGCTGTTCCTCAACTTTGTGGGCTTTTTCTTCTCTTGAGTCTGCCACTGGGCAGCTGTCTCTGTCAGGTTTCATTCTCCTTCTAAATATAATCCAGCTAATTTCTGCCCTGTCATCAGGTTCAAAGGGTGTGGGACTTAGAACGAGAATGGTGCTTGAGAAACCAGCCCTCCTCCTCTTCCAACTGCATAGCCTTCGGACATGTTGTCGTCTCCAAAGGTAGAACAGACAAGACAGCCAGCTTGGCGAGAAGACAGTAGCATGCAAAAAGACATTGCTTCCACGGCCCGACGCAAGGGTGAATTGGGGCTCCTCCCCAGGGCAGGCCGCGAAGGTGGGGCGATCCCTGTGCCTCGCCTCACACCTGCAGTGACCAGCTGACAGATCCATTAGCGGTGGAGGACTCTTGTTAGCATCTCCGAGGCTGACCTGGCATTGGCTCTGGGTGTCATTGAATGCTTCAGGGAAATTTGATTAAAATGTGAAAAGGATGCTTCCCTGCCATAGAGCTGTAGAGGCTGTCTGGTGTTACACAAAAGACAGGACTGGTTGTCCCTGCCGCGTTAGCTGTGGCTGCAGGAACAATTAGTGTTACATTTGGCCAGGAGACTTGATGCGCCGTGTCGCTACGGTGTCAGCTCTGTCTGATGTAGGAGAGGTCAGTGCAGAGTCGGACGCCTGCATGTCGCCTTTGAGAAGGAAGCTAGGGGCTCCCTAACGCAGTGGCCTTTTTGCGTTGCTTTTACATGGTTTTTATGTAAGGGAACCACCAGCCCACCATATTCCTGAGAACACCAGATGGCTGCACTGCCATGTTCACCAGGGACTTCTGAGATTCGTGCCGAGCTTATTAGCAGTTGCCGATCTCATAGAAAACTAAGGAAACCTTATCTAGAATGCTGTGGGTTTTTTCCTCAAAAGGTGGACTTCTGATCTAAAGAACCAGGGCAGGCAGCCCACGTGCGCCTCGGCATTGATCCGTCATTCTCTGGGCGGCAGCGGCTCGGCCTCCTTCAGCCCTGCCGCTGGCCGCTCACCCCATTACACCCGCAGATTTTCACGTCCGCTTGCAATTGTGTACTGAAACCATGCATCCAGTGAAGTACGGTTCCAGCTCCGACAGGCTTCATCACAGCACTGACACAAAAAGACAAACAGAAATCTGACTTGCCATGTCATCCATCCAATAAAAAAAAAACCACCCAAGGGTAGAAGAAGAGCTATTCATCACGTCCCAGCACAGCCAAGCCTGGGAGTTCAACTGCAATATTTCTAGGTGGCTTTAGAAAACCTTTCCTTGGCAAAGCAAAGAGTTCTCCTTCTGACAGCTCTTTTCACCAGCGAGCCAGCCTGTCTGGGTTAGAACAAAGGGAATTCTGCCCGCCTGATTTGGACCGGAGAGTGGTTTTGTACTTCCCCAGCAGTTTGCTGTATCATGGTGGAAGTTGGAATACTTTTCCGTAAGTTAAGCAGGTCTTCCTCTTCATTCTGCCTGCGTTTCCCTTATCTGCAGTCAAGCTTTGGCTGCTGAGGCAGCCTTTGCCCTGGTTTAGCATGAGCAGAATAGTAACGTTGGCCTGAAAAGAGATTCAAGAGAGGATTATGGGATTATTCAGTAGGCTTGTCACCAGAGAATGTATCTGTTACAAAGGGCATGTAGATTTTTTTGTTATTATGGAATGTCTACTTTAGCAATTGTATGCCCATGTATATTTTACAGCATCTACAATAGCTAAACTTTCAGAGCACTTTTGTTAGTATGTCTTGCTCTTCTGAGTATCTTATTTTTCCAGAAAGTTCCTTCACTTAACAAAGCTTTTCTGAAAGGGGCAAGGGTGAGAGCCTTGCCCACAGTATGAAGCTTAAAAGACCATTTCAAGGAAAGTGTGGTTTGATTTGAATTGCAGCAGGTAGGGGAAATTGTCTAAGAAATGTGTCCCCTCTGCATTTGGTAGCTTCACCTTCCCGTATGTGAGGAGCACATGTTTTTCTTTTTCTTTTTTTTTTAAAGATTTTATTTTATTTGACAGAGCACAAGCAGAGGGAGAGAGAGGGAGAAGCAGGCTCCCCGCTGAGCAAGGAGCCCGATGTGGGACTCGATCCCAGGACCCTGGGATCATGACCCGAGCCGAAGGCAGCCGCTTAACCGACTGAGCCACCCAGGCGTCCCTGTTTTTATTTTCCTTATTGGAAAACAGAATGGACTTAGCCAGACTTTTTGGTTCTGCCAAACTGATCTGAGCCGGCAGTTAGCCATAGTAGTTAAGGCACTTAATGAGTGCCTTGGGGTTACTCTTATGCAAGACTGGGACAATTCTAATATTTGAAGGTGAACATGACACGATAAAGAAGGAGCATTCACTTGTGATTTTTTTTTTTAAACACACGTGGTGACGGCAGGCATGGATTCCGTCCACAGATACTTACCAAGTAGCTGCCATCGCCCAGCACTGACTTAGCTCTAGTTGTAAAGTGAACCGGACAGAATGGCCCCCGACTCACAGAGCTGACAGTCCAGAGGCGGGGGTAGCGTCTTCTTCAAGTCCCCTTGATGATTGTTTTCACGGAGCAAGAGGAGAGGCAGAGTTAAGCTGTGTCTGGCTTGGCTCAGAAGGCCTGGAAACCCCTGCTGCCTCCATCGGTCCCGTGGTCTAAGTGGATCACATGTACCTGGCTTCTTCCTCATTTCGAAAACCACTTCTGTCACTTCCTGGGATGATGTGAAGATCCGTATAGTTACGATCCACTTTTGATTTTTCAGAGGTAGAATATTCCGTCTGTTCCTTCTTGACTTGCTTCTTTTCCGGCCTCCTTATTCTCACAGTCACTGGGACTTCCAGCAGAGAATAGACCTGGAAAGAAGGACAGGAAGCTCGGGCCAGACATCGTGGGCCTGAGGATGAAAGGGTTAAGGTTGTAGGGTACACAAGGCTGACAGTGAGAGGGCAGGTGAGTTTGGGGGAGAGTGGATTTCATTGTCCTCTGGTTCACCAAGCCAGGCTCTCTGACATATGTTTGTTCCTGTGAGAAAATGCTGTGTTAAAAAAATGCACAGTGACAGTGGTAGAAGTCGAATACTTGCTGTTTACTGAAAGGGATCACAGTTTTCTGGTGACGGTTCCGTATTTAAGAAAGTACAGGTAGAGGTCTCAGGGGAGGCAGAGGATGACAGTTTCAGATCTGCCTTCAGAATGCTGATCTTTCATTTGGGGGGAGACTTTATACATATATATATATGTATACATCCATACTTTTTTTTCTTTCTTTACAGAATGAAGTTGGCCTACTGGAGTTCTTCCAAAATGTTATAAAAGAAACTAGGGCAGAGCCAAAAAAAGTAACTAGTTGGGTCCTCAACATTTTTCTGGGTTTTTTAAAGCAACAGAACCTTGCTGTCAATGAGAGGTGAGTGGGGTCTGGAGATTCTTTTTTCCTTTTTTTGATGAACTCAGTGTCCAGAAGCAGTTGAAGTAGGGCAGGGCCAGTGTTTTGTTCTCCCTCTTCCCCCTCAGGATCTCCTGACAAGACACACACACCCCCTGTGAATTCCAGATTCTAAAGCTGTCCTCCCTCACATCTGAAATTTCGTTTATCTGTTCGAATCTTTTTCTGTGCTGCCCTTTGTACTGTGCTGGAGCTGCGGTCCTAAAGATGAGTAAGACAAGGGGTATGCACGCTGGTGGGGGATATGGGCCTGTAAGAGAGCAGGTAGTCACCTCAGTTTGATTCTTTTAGGCCGGAGGCGCAGGGGGTGCCCTGAATGAACACAGAGGGGGCCTGACCCGAGGCCAGAAGGTGGATGAGGTTTCTCTCAGAAGTGGATGCTGGAGCTAGGCCCCAAAGACCTAGTGGGAGTTGCCAGGTGATGGGAGGGGCGAGGGCATTCTAGGCAAGGGAGTGGCGGATGGACACTCAGAGGCGAGCGGGTGTATGGGCTCAAGAAACCCAGAAACTCCGGGGTGCTGAGGGGCAAGGACAGCTCAGGAGAAAGCCACAGAGACCACCAGAGGCCACTGTGCAAACACTTCTGTCAGCAGCTCTCAAAGCCGTAGATCTCCAGCGCACTCCAGTTTCGCTTTGGGGGAGTTGGTTGGAGGAACAGACCAGAAGCAAGGAGCCAGTTGCTGGAACGCCAGTGAGAAATGCCATGGGCCTGAGCCGAGGTAGATGGACAGCAGTTCTCTCACGTTGTACAACTTCCAGTTCTTACTTGGACAGTGGAGTGAAATGGAGGGCAGCATCTTACAGTCTAGTGAGAGGTGGAGGAGGAGTGAGTTCAGGGGCAAGGGGCGGGGCAGGATGCCGTGTTCCATTTGGGACGTGCTGAGTTGGGCCGCCTGGGGGGGGCGGGGTAAGCAGGAGGCAGTCAGATACATGATCTACCACTAACAAGAGAGATCTGGGAGGTATAAATCCTAGAGTTCTCATTTGTTCATTATTCAGCACATGTTTATTTAGACTCTGCTCTGTGCAAAGCACTGTGCTAAACCTGGGGAAGACCAGTCGGCACAACAGATGGAGGCCCTGCTCTCGGAGCTGACAGTCTAGAAGCCGGTGATGACAAAGCACTGAGCTAGGTGGTCTTGAGAAGGGGTAGGGAACAGCTAAGCTAAGGCCTGAGGGAAGGATGAGTAAGGTTAGTCAGGCAAAATCCAAGAGGTAAAAGTGTTCCAGTATAGGGAACAGCACGTGTAAAAATCTTGAGGTGAGTCCGGGCATCCTGTGTCGGGAACGCAAGTACATAGTCCAGTATAGGTGGAACGTGGACTTAGCAGCTTATAGATAGTACTTGAAGTTGTTGAAACAGAAGAGGATCAGGGAGGGTATGGCCTGATGGGACGGCTGAGGAAGGAGCTGGGGATGCTCTAGACTCTAAGGGAGAAGCGCAGGCAGAGAAGGAGGCAGCTGAGAAGAAATGGCAGAGAAGAGGAAAACTGGGGCAGAATGTCACAAAAGCCAAAGGAAAGGCAAGATTTAAGAAGGGAAGAGTGAGCAGCAGAGTGCAATATGGGGAATGAGGGAGAGAGCGTCCGAGAGCGTCCATGAGAAGCACCCCCCAGCCCCCGCAAGGCCCCAGGGGAGCATGGTGCCCCCTGTCAGCAGGCATGCCATTGTCTCAGCATCCTGAGGCCGTACAGAGTGGAGGAGGGGGATGAGCCTACATGGATACATGATCCCAAAAATTTGTTTGCTGTACAGTGCCCACTTCCTTACTTGGCTCCTTACCAGCAGTGACCTTGGATGAGTTCCCCTTTCTCACCCGCCATTGCTTCACTATGAAACGAAAACGGTAGTGCCTAAGTACCGGCAAGGGTTTTGGAGAGGAAAACGCACGGTGCCTGGCACGTAGTGGGCCCTCAGCGTTCGTTTCCTTCTCTTCACCGGGTTGGCGTGTTAAGTACCAAAACGACGGCCACCCTCAGCCCCCTAAACTACTTCGGCATCTGTTGCCTCTCTGTCTTTTGTTCCTGCCCTTTCGGGTTTGACCTCTCCTCAGAAACTCCACTCTTTACACTGAAAATACGGTGGCCATTCAGGGTAGGCTGGAGCCATCCAGAAGAGTTTAGGGAGGAGAAACAACTGTACCAAAGCCTTAAAGAACGGATGGGAGTTGGTGAGGCAGAGGTCTGGGCAACACCTGTGGAGAGCCAAGGGCGGGAATGGGAATTCATTGCACGTTCTTAGACCGAGGAGGAGCATAGCTTGTAGGAGCAGAGGGTGGGGGGCGGCAGGAAGGCACAGCTGGCTGACCGGCGCAGGGCTGGGATGTAAGGATGTGGGGAGTCACCGGGGGGGGGGGAGGGGGTGTTAGCCGTGACCCCAACCAATGCGGTAGAGCGCCCCTCTGGGCAGGGCACGAGGTCGGATGAGGAGGCCCTGACCCCGGCCCTCGAGGGGCTCGCCATCTCCTGCGGAGGACTAGACTTGTGCGGCAGCATTTTAATCCAAGGCAGAAAGCAGTGCTTCTGGAAGCGCCTGTTGGCCAGAAGAAGCCAGGAAGGCTCCAAGATGTGGTTTGAGCTTTCGGAGGAGTTAAAAATCTGATCCTTAAATTGATGGTTTTCCATGTCGTTGGCTATGGTGGACTGTGTTGGCCTAGAGTCACTGAATTTTAGTCCTGGCAGAGACCTTAGATAACTTCTGGTTCCGCTCTGTCCTTTGGCAGACAAGGAAATCGAGGCCCTGGCCAGTAAGGTGACATACCTCAGGTTGCTCAGCTGCTGAAACCGGTAGCCGAGTCCCCTGACTTTCAGACCAGCTTCTTTAGATGTCGGTCTCAAATTAGGGGTTTGCGTGCCGGCCATGTTGGTAGCTGCTGAAGGTGCTGAGGTTGATAAATTAGCTTGCAGAGTGAACTCGGAGCCCCTGATACTTACCCGAACAATTCATAAGCACTACAGTTTTAAGAACCCAGAGGGTACCCAATTCTACATAAACCTAATAAGGAGGTGTTCCCAAAGCAGATAAACGGGGGAGCTAAGCTACGGTTCTGTACCCAATTTATGGAGAACCAGGACTGAGGACCCAAAAGCAAGCTGTAGCAACTGTCTACCTGCACAGCTCAGAGAACCACCCTTAGCCGCACTGGCCGTAGCGGCCTCACCTCGGAACAAACAGTAGTTAATGAGCAGCCGCAGCTGCTGGAGCGAACATCTCCAAAGCTTAGAATGGCAGTCAGTGTGGAGCTGTAGCAGTAGTCGTGTGATGATGCCAGCCAGGGAACACTCTAGAGGTCAAGATGGCAAGAACTGATTTTGCAAATGAGCTTTCATCTTTAAAGGCCTGTCAGAAGACTGGTGTTTAAAGGGTCCAACCAGAAGAGCTCTTGTTGAACTCGGCTTTTTAATTATTTTGAGCATGTTGCTTTGAAAGTTGTTTTTCTGTTAACTCCTTCTAAATTGCTATTACTAACAGGTTGGATTTAGTTAAGAACGTGGAAATTACAGCTACCCTGAGCAGGTGCTTCACAGTGATACCAGGCAAGTGCCACCATCCAGTTGTCTGGCCCAGTCGAGTGCCCCGAACTTCCAGGCCAGCCGTGGGCAGCCGTTCCTGAAGCACTCGCCACCCAGGGCAGGCTTTGGAGCCAAGAGGGCCTGATGGCGAGGGAGGAGAAGTCCGGCAGTGGGGGGTGTGCGATAGCATCCAGGAGTGGGGCTGCAGGGTTCGGAGCCCATAAAAGATCATTCTGGCAGCCCTGGGAGCGAACATGGTTATTACCTCGTAAAGCAAAACAAAGAATATGTGACAAAGACCATGTGTGGCCCACAGAGCCTTAAACATTTGCCCTCTGGCACTTCCCGGATGAAGTTTACTGACCGCACCTTAGAACATGTTTGGTGAGAGGTCACTGAGTCCAGTGGTAGAGAGAACTGGATCCTGAAGAAGCAGAGGCAGTCTTGGGAACAGATGGGCTTCGCTTGTCTGCCAGCCTGAGGTGGTGGAGGCAGAAAACCATATGGAGAAGAGCCCTGGCCGCTCCTTATTAACGGGACATTCAAGGAAAAGGAAGAGAATGCGGAGGTCCAAGGAGAAGGGGTGTTCGCAAGGGGCCTTAAATGTAGCCCAGAATTGGGGTGCAGCAGAATGGGGGGGAAAGCAGTTATGCTTGGCAACAAGCAAAGGTGTGATTTTTTTTTTTAAGAGAAGAGCTTCTGTAGAGGGCTAGGATTAGTATCCACATGGCTGTGCCCACAAGGGTAGATAGTAGCCACTAATGCCAGATGTTTATTGGTAAAGGTAAGGTAAGAGCCCAGGCAGAAGTAAGTGACTCCAAAATCACTTGCAGACATTTTCAGGATCGGGAAGATCTGAGCATTTGTGAAGGTGCTGGATTAGAGCCCCAGGAGAAAGGAAACAAACATGCGAGTGGGATCCGTAAAAGTGGAAAGTAATTGGGATTAAAAGCATGAGTCAAGGGGTTTGTTTGATGGAACCAGGAGGAAGAGGGCACGACAGAAAATTCTGAGTCTTGCATCAGCTGGTGACCTTACGAAGTGAGAGGTGAAGGAGGGCATGTGCCAAGAAGGGAAGTGGGAAGGAGACTGTCTGGAACAGGTGCTTGGGTTGGGGCACCCGGTAGGGGTGCAGGGAAACCGTCGAGATGAACACAAGGATTATTGACCAGCAAGAGCCACCTGGGTGTCCAGGTCCCTCTGTCTTCCTCCAGGAGCTTCCTGTGCCCCATCGGAACGGAAGCAGAGGTTGCCTTTGGGCCTGAAAAGAGTGTGGGGATTGAGATGGACCGCACCTTTCTCCGATGAGGGGAGGGGGCTGGGAAGGTATGGTTGTAGAGATAGCAAAGTGTTTAGTCCCAGAATCCAAGCTGGGGATGGAGTCGTGATCCTGAAAGAGCTCTAGGGGACTGGAGGAAGTTGGCAGGTGGGAAAGATCCCTCTGTACATACGCAGGCCTCAGGGGATTGGAGGCTGGCACACAAAGCTTAAGCCTTCCAATGTCAGGGTCTTCTTTAGTGGAGACATATTCACTGTCCAGGAACCAGCATTATCTGACAGCAGCAAATCAGTAGCTTGTGCTTCTGCTGCCATTATGTTGCAGATCTGATGGTTTATTTATTTAACTGATAAGTGGGGTCTTCTACCATCAGCCTGACAGGTGCTGATCTTTGTCATTGTCTCACTCAAGGTTAGCCCGGGCATATCTGGAATTAATGTATGTGGTATACCAGATAGCTCTCCCTGTTGGGGGGAAGAGTTCTGTGACACAAATATTAGTGACTATGTGTCAAGCATTTGTGGGTACAGAAAGGTGAGTGAGAAATCTCCAATGCTGTTAGGTCAGTGGAAATATTTTATAGTGTACATTTATGACCTAACTAATGAATTAAGGTCATTAGATGAAAGGCAAAGTATTTTTAGTTATGTTGTGATCTATTTCTGTTCATCTCTGTCTCCATGTCCCTGATACCATCAACTCGTGTGGGAGAAGGGACCTTTTCTTTTCTGCATGCTCTAGAAATCCAGTTTAACATCAGTGCTTATCATGGGTTCTACCTACTGTCTACACTCTAATTAGCCACCGTATTTTCTAGGATTGCAGAACACCCAAGGGACACTCGTTTTTCAAGCAACCTGATTCTTAGTAAGGTGGAAGGTTGGAAAAGGGATTTATTGGTTTATTTCCAGCTCTCTGCCCCTCTTCCTGTTGAGATTTAATCAGGGCGGTTCACAGATGTTCCACATACCAACTTAATAACACCAGTTAGTCTCCAAACCTAGTTTTCACTTGGAATTACCTTTTATCCCTACTTTGGGATAAGCAGAGACTTTAAGGATGATGGTCTGCCTCTGTGTGTCATCTGCTTCAAATGAACAGCCGTAATGAGGCTTCACTGGACTTGAACCAGAGTCCAGTAAGTCAGAGCTGGTGAACTTGCACTCACTGGGTTTGGAATTCATGGAAACTGGATGGGGGCTCCATGGCAGTTTCCTTTTCATTATCTAAGAGCTTACAAAGAAATTAATTGTGATTGATGAGAACTAAGACATAAACAGAAGGTGTTTTCCCTTGGCGTTAAACATTTGAGAAGCTCTCATTCACACTGATGTGCTATTTATAAGTCCTTCCTATCTATTTTAAAACTAGTCCCCTAATAACCTCAGATAAAGTGTTTTATTACCCTAGTCGCTCTATGTGTTTAAAAGTAGCAAAATCACATATTTTTTAAAGAAATGGTGCGTAATTCAGTGTTGTCTTTTCACTGATCTAGGCACTACCCCACACATACACACACACACACACCACTCCTACCCCCGAATGTGAATTAATGACACTTTATGGGTTTGGTTGCTCCTTGGCCTTTCTTTTATCATGGGATCCTGGCAAGTAAGCCACATCCTAAAAGTATGGATATGATGGGTTCTGGACCCTTCTGTTGTTGAGTCTGGAGAGAACAGTGTTTGTGCTGATGCCCATAAGGACAGTTAAGGACACGGATGGCAGTCATGGAGAGTTCCCTTAAAGAAAAGCTCTTACAAGTACAAAGAACTTATATTTGCATAAAAACACTCAGAAAAGTAGCTTTGTTAGCTCTTTTGTTTGAAGTAATTCTTAGGCTGATCTTGCAGTTGAAAATATTTAATTACTGGGTTGTTTTGTTTTGGGTTTTTTTTTTCTCTTATCATGGTTCATGAATTTTGCAGCCACTCCTTTTTTTGACTAATTAAACTGAGCAGTTGTCTGTTGCTACAACTTTTGCCAAACAGCCATTATTGTTGAGTAGTAAAATAAAAACAACACTAGTCACCGAAATTTGTTAAATCCTAAAATACAAAATAAATAAGTAAAATAGAGCCCAGTTGGCGTATTATTTCCATTCCTGGGTGTGGGTTTAATTATTTAAACCTACAAAATCAAGGGCTTTGCTTCTGAATAACCATAAATGAGTATGCTGACAGTGTGAAATATAAGTTTATTTTCTCTCCTTTCGGGGGCTGCTAGTCCTGTCACACCTTCTGCGCTGGCTGAGCTGCTCAACCTGCTGGACAGAAAAGCCATCTCTTCATCAGCAGCTAGACAGGTATGTCGACGCTTCCTAAAGCTTCGGACTGCTCTGCTATCCCAGTAAATGTTTTATGCCAATGCCATCACTAAGTGAACTTCATAATTGAAGTATTCAATGCCTGTAAATGCTGTTTTTATAGTGAAGAGGTAGAAACGTTTCATTTAGCAAAAGAAAAAAAAAAAGCCGGTATGTGCGATGTAGGTAATACGCTTCTCATCTTTGCTTAGCCAGGGGGAATAGTTTCTGTTTGGTTTTGCCTGGAATGTTTTCCAAACATTTGTTTATGTGAAAGGCGGGACTGTAGCTTGTGGGGGCTTCAGAGCGTGTGCACTGCCCCTGCGCCCCAGAAGGCCAAGGTCGGGGGCGGCTTCGGCACTGCTCCCTGACCCACTGGTCCCTCTCAGTCCTCTGTAGCTGCCCAGCCAGTCCTAGGGGCTTACTGGTGGTCTTTGTTGCCTCATCGCCCCCTGAAATTCAGTCTTCCAGCAAGGAGGATGAGGTCAGACTGCCTATCACTTAGCAGATAAAATTTTATACATGCGCCCAGTGAATGCAAGCTGCGAAAACCAGCAGCAGCGTCAGCGTGGCCTCAGCTTCATCACCCTCCACCTGACAGTCATAGGTGGCTGAAAGATTCCTGGAATCCAGAAAACTCTCACAGGTAAGTTCCCAGAAAGACAAAGAACACCAAGGCGGCAGCCTGATCTCAACTTTGGATATCGAAGCCATCGGTGCTTCAGCCAGAAACTTAATGTGACTTTAATGGTGCCTTTTGCATTTACTATTTATACACATTGGCAGTAGTGGCAGGTACTGAGTGAGGCTTTGGAATAGCAGCTGCTTTGGGCTAATTATAAGGCACTATGGAGCTCACACCCAGCTCTGCAATGAAACTGGAAACAGAACTAATAAAGGTTCTGTCTCCCCGCCACCCAGTGAGGCTGTCAACTGCAGGGACCTTGGCACGTGTAGGAAAGGATTTTGGTTGCTTGGACGTCAGAAGAATACAAATGTTTATGACAGTGCTCAGCAGTAGCAGAAAGATGAGATGGCCTGAGGGTAGAAAAAAAAAACTGTGTATACATAAGAGCAGATGAATTGTAGCATTTGAAATGAAAGAGGGGCAAAAAATTTCCCCTTCTCACTCATCCTGTCCCACCAGACCTGGGGAAGCAGGGAAGGAGAGAAGGAAGAAAGGAGGAAGGGGAAGGGAGGGAGGAAGGAAGGAAGGAAACCTAGTACAGTGAATATGATTTGTTCAATGGGAAGAAATGGAAAATGCTAGAAGATGCTGACAGCTGGTTCAGATACAGATAGGGACACCTTTGGATTCTCTCAACTTCCAGCATGTTTAAAGGAAGCAGGGTGAATCCTGGCTGCTATGAGGTAATCAAACTAAAAGTCTGATTAGAAAGGTGTTAAACGTATGCTGGCATGAGGGAATCTCCTGTATATATTACTGCCTTGGGAGTTTTCCTTTTTTTATTTTTCTACTTTTTCTGTTTTTAAGAAAGTCACTTAACTGATTTTCTGGTGTGAAAAAAAAAGTGTTCATTATTAAGAATTTAATGCAGAAAAATACAAAGATCTTCAGATTCTACCACCTTGAAATAACTACCATTAATGCTGGGTGAACACCATTCCAGGTACGCTTCCATGCACATATACCATTATAAGCATAGATTGATGGGATGGGCAGACGTGAGGTTAGAGAAATAAAGACTTTAGAAAGTAAGAAGTTATAGTACTTTTTTTTTTAGTTTATTTCTTTAAGAAGTGGACAGTTCATTGGGTTGGTTTGTTTGTTTTTTAAATTTTATTATGTTATGTTAGTCACCATACATTACATCATTAGTTTTTGATGCAGTGTTCCACGATCCATTGTTTGCGTATAACACCCAGTGCTCCATGCAGAACATGCCCTCTTTAATACCCATCACCGGGCTAACCCATCCCCCCACCCCCCTCCCCTCTAGAACCCTGTTTGTTTCTTAGTATATTCACAAAGCTGTGCAGCCATCAACAGTAATTCCAGAACATTCTCATCACATCAGAAAATAAACCATTAGCAGTCACTCCCATTAAAAGGATCATACACCATGATCAAATGGGATTTATTCCAGGGATGCAAGGATGGTTCAACATCCACAAATCAATTAACATAGATACACTACATTCACAAAATGCAGATAAAAATCCTATGATAATCTCAAAAGGTGCAGAAAAACTTTTTGAGAAAACTCAACATTCATTTATGATAAAGAATCACAACAAAGTAGGTATAGAGGAAACATACTTTAATGTAATAGAGGCCGTATATGACAAGCCCACAGCTAACACACTCTACCCCCTTGCCCTAGGTTACCACTAATCTTTGTCTCTGTGGATTTGCCTGTTCTGAACATTTAATGTAAATGGGCTTGTGTAGCCTTTTTTGTCTGGCTTCTTGTACTTAATATAACTTCACAATCCATCTATGTGGTAGCATGTGCCAGTACTTCATTTCTTTTTAAGGCTAAAGAATATTCCATTGTAAGTATATGTCACATTTTGCCTCTCCATTCATCAATAAACAGACATTTGAGTTGTTTCTAGTTTTTGGCTCTTAAAAAACATGCTGCTTTGAACATTTGTGTTCAGATGTTTTGGTTTGAGTGTATATTTTCAGGTTTCTTGGGTATAGACCTATGAGAATGGAATTTCTGGGTCATATGGTAATCGTACATTGAACATTCTGAGAAGCTGCCTCTTTTCCAAACTGGCTGCACCACTAACGTTCCCGCCAACAACACGAGGGTTCGTCTCTCCATATCCTCACCTGCACTTGTCTGTCTTTTTGATTATAGTCATCCTGACAGGTGTAAAGTGGTACCTCACTGTGGACTTGATTTGTATTTCCCTAAGGACTAACTACATTGAGCATCTTTTTATGTCTTTTATAGTATATGCTCTTTAAAAGAAAAATGTTACAATTAATTTTTACTGAATTTAACAAAAGAATCCAGGTAGGCCTTGGGTTTGAGAAACCCTGTGAGTCAGAGGGTACTCAAGCAGAGCAGAAAGATTCTCTGCTTCCATTCCTTATTGATGTTTCGTTCTGACAGAACTGGAAGTGGTTCCAGTAGTGATTAGATGACCAGGAGATGAGGGGAAAAAGTTGACCAAGTAACTGACTCCTAAGGATGACAGATTGGTAGAAAGAATCATCCTGTCCTTAGAACATTCTGAATGCCAAAGAATCTCCCACTTTATGTCTAATTTATTATTAACCCATCTCTCCCCCTTACATCGTTGGCCATTATTTCGTCCCTTACACCTTTCACTGCACCTTCCTCACAGGTGTTCAGCGGTGCTTCTGAGATTTACAAACCTCATCCCTTTAAAGGCACCCCAGGGGCAAGGGGAGTTGAGAGGTTGCTACCATGAAGCACCCCTATTTTTCAGAAATGGAAAGAGAAAAGGATTTATCATTATGAGCAGCCTCCTGGTAACCATAAACAAAATCATCTGGGTTCCTGTCACAGGATCCAGTGCTACCTGTCGAAGTGGTGGGTAGCAGCCCCCTCTCCTCCCCTCCCCAAGGAGAGGGCCGTCAGAGTCACAGTTCCCCTGCAGACAGTGTCCCAGGATCCTGAGCCTCTTGTGACTCAGGGGCCCGGGGTGCTGTCCAGACTGCTGGCCAGCGCAGCCCCGGGGGAAACCATGCGGTGTGTTTGTGTCCCCTTTGTGCCCGCCTGAAATAGATGTGGATGATCCACTGTCTCCCAAACCAAGCCAGCTTGGGATTCTGTATGGATGGAAATTGAATTTTAACATGTAGGTGTGCCACTTAACCCATTTCCTCTTGTCTTTGGGGTCTGCTTTAAAGAGAAATCACCAAACCCTTTTAATGTAGAAAATGTTCTATGTCCTGCAGTAAAATGGCTACAAATGATTTAAAGTCGTCTCTCCCTATTAGTGCTTCAGTTCTATGTGCATCTTACTGTGCCCCACTTCTCTTAGGGGCCTGGGTGATGGTTTGTGCCTTTCTAGAAGAATGACCTTTCCCAGTACTTGCGTTTGAGCAGAGGGGACCACCCTCCTTTTCGGTAACTGTCACAGCCCCCTCCCTGCCTTCTCCCTTGAACAGGCCTTTCCTCCACACTCTGACCCTGGAAACCCCTGGACAGGCGAGGGGCCTGCCTGCTTTCCTTCCATCCTCCCTTCCGGATACTTTAACAATAGTACTAGCTAGAGAAAGTCGGACAGTAGTTGAAAGGGTGTGTGAATTCGGTCCCCAGGGCCCTGAAGGCTGAGCTTCTACCCCGTGTGTCTGAGCCAGCTCCCTGGTCAGTGTGTGATTAGGGGTTCCCGGCTTGCATGACCCCATGCTCTCCGTGGGCATTTACACAGATGGCCCGCACTACCCTAGGAATCCCTTGTTGCGGAGGTTTGTCTTGGGTGGGCAGCAGCAGGGCCCGGGAGCTGCACGCCTAGCCAGAAACAATTGTACTTGGATAGCACTTCCCAGGGTGGCAATTGAACACAGACAGAAACTGAGGATTTACGCTGCAGCACGAGGCTGGTGACCACAGAGGCCATTGTGTTTCCGGCCAGAGGACCCAGGAGGCCTGCAGAGGCTGGCCGCCCCTTCAGCGGCTCCTACCCTGCTGGGCGTCAGCCAGGAGTGCACAGTCTGGGTCTGAAACAGAAATGAGCACAGGATGAGACAACTGGAGTCTACTGCGCCGGCCCAGGGGGCTGGGGCTGGGCTGCGGTGGCCACTTGACTAATTGGGGAAGTTAATAATTAGCTGATGTGTTCTAACTGGGCGTAGAGACCACCCCCAGACCCTGGGCTCCCATGTGTTCCTGGAGGCTGCTGAAATGTTTCTCAAGCTTCACTCCTTTGTACCCCCGCCCTACTTTCTCAGGGAGCAGCCAGCTCTCTGCAGTTAGAAGTATCCATCCTAGCATTGTCCTGCTTTTCCTTCTGAATGGTGTGGTTTGGCAGTGATCCCCGGGCTGCCTCATACC